TTCCTTTCTGTTCCCCCTCCATTATTTAGCAGCAACCCAACTTCCCTTTGAAAATTGAAATCAATAATCTCAGCCAGTACAAAAGCCTCCATTTTTACCTACTTGTCCATTGGCATGAGGATTCCAAAATCGCCAAGTGGCCATCTCAACTTCTAAATCAATAGTATCATTGTTGAATAACCTGATAGAAACATACCTTCTCGGGGTACTAAAAATTCTAAACCAGTAGAGAACAAAGTTGTTGGGACCAGAAATAAACATTTTATGAATAGGTCTTTAGGAACAACTTCCATACTTCTGTTCTTAGACCTAGAAATTCTAGTTGACTATGTGGCATCATATACAGTCTATTGGTGGCTTGTTCATAATAAATATCATATAGTGTAGGATGGCTCCTCTAACACACAAGGTGTTGTCTCTCAACTGGTGGCTTAACTGTTGTCAGCATAGTCATTATTTCATTGTGTAAGAGCAGCTTTTTGTCCAAGTGATGGACTGCATGATAAAATCAGTGAATTCCATTGGTATAAGCAAATCACCACACTTACTTAGTTTTAAAATGAGTCCCTTGATGAGAAGCGATGTTGCATGAAATTTTACGATTGTGAATGAGGCATTCTGTAAGATCACAGATGGTGGTGCCAACAGTATTGCAGGCATATCTAGAATACTCATTTATGCCAGAGAAATCATAAAACCAACTAAATTCTCCACAATATAATGGGCCCAAATTAATTAACTTACCCCCAGGTACCTGATTGGTACCCTTGAGATTGTTACATATCAGTAACTCAGTATAGCGTGGCTAAGTTGGGAATTCAGCTGTGGGGTAGTCATTTCAACCTTTATAAAGGGAAACCATGTTGCTGAAAGCATATATAGTCTCTACTCATGCCACCCTGACCATTTTGTGCAGGTTCCTATTGAGCAAGCACAGGGGTAGCTAAGAGGCTTACTGCCCTCCACTGAGTGGGTGATATTGCCCACTTGGTTGCTGAGAGATTATGGGTGAGCATTCACACCTTATATTGAGAGACTCATGCTCCTGACTTGTCCCAAGAAGTCCATATATCACATCCCTAAATCTGTTTTGTGTCCATTTTCCCAAATGTCCTCGTTCAGAGTCCCTGTTAATTAGGATGAGCCATTATCTCTGGACATGGATCCAAATGCAACATGGTATATGAGACTTCAGGATTTTTCTCTTTGGAGAGGAGTGAATGCACTTTTGTTTGTATTAAAGAATAATTATAGCACGTTACAGTCTTTTGGGTAACAAGAGTTTGTAGATGTTGGGTAATTGAACTTTAGTGAATATTTGTTATTCACTAAATAGTAACAAGTATTTGTAGATATTGGGTTAGTGAACTTTAGTGAATATTTGGTTAAATAAAAATAATTTTTATTTTTTACTTTTTATGTAAGGCTTACAAAATGTTTCAAAAATAATGTCAAAAAGTCCCCCCATCTCTCCCTCTCTTCCTCTCTCCCTCACACACTATTTTAAAAATATTTTGAAAGTAAAACATGGATAGATCTAGAGGGTATTAAGCTAAGTGAAATGAGTCAGACAGAAAGACAAATACCATAGGATTTCACTTATATGAGGAATCTAAACAAACCAGAAATAAATTCATAGATACAGAGAACAAACCAATGGTTGTCTGAGGGGAAGAGGTAGGAGGGATGGATAAAAAAGGTGAAGAGAAATAAGTGGTACAAACCTACAGTCATAAAAGCAATAAGTCATGGGGATGTCTCACACAGCATAGGGAAAATGCTCAATATTATCTTAATAACCTTGCATGGTGATATGGTTACTAGGCTTACTGTGGTAATCATATCTTTAGGAATACAAATATCAACTCAATATGTCATACACTGAAACTAGTATAGTATTGAATGTCAACTATAATTTAAAAATTAAGTTAAAAACATAAAAAGTTAATGTGTCTTTGAGAACAAAACTTCCTTCTTTTACATACTGTTGATTTTAAAAAATTACAGTAATGAGCAATAGACTGATGAACAAGAACAGACCCAGAGATAAGGAACCATGGGTCAGACTGTTGGACCTCAAAGGGAGGGTGAGGATAAAGGGAGAGATCAACCAAAGGACTTATGTGCACACATATGAGCCTAACCAGTGGTCAAGGACAATAGGGGGTGGGGGCATGAGTGGGGTGGGGGTGGGGGATTGGAATGGGGAGTTGAGGACAAATATGTGATACCTTAATCAATAAAGAACTTAATTTTTAAAAATTACAGTAACAAAAATAATAAAACAGTAAAAATTTTGGGATAAAGTTTTTTAAGAGTAAGTTACAAAGACAGTCTCTCACAGAAAACAGTACAATAATAAAAATCAAACCACTAATATTGCTATAACACTATTATCTTAAAGACCTTCTTTATATTTTGCCTTCTGTTCAAATTGTACCAGAATTTCATGAGTAGGGAAGAGACAGACAAATCTTTCTGGACTGTGAACAGGACAAATGGCCTACTGAGCCTCAGAGTAGAGTGCAACCCAGAGATGGAGCTAAGGGGGCTTCCTTAGTCGTTGGGTCTCCTCTGCCAGCCCCAGCCCCATGATACCACTGTCTTCCTTCAGGCTCCCCAAAACTCCCTGTGACCGCCACACCTTGAAGGTTCCATTACCCCTGTCCTCTAATTACACTTTATCTGGGGCTGATGGTCTCAAGGCAGTGGCCTGGACCTCCTCCACCACTTCACCACCTGACAGAGCTGGGAGGACCGCAGAGTTCCATCATTATTATCTAGACTAGAGTGCTGTCCCACAGACAGGAGCCTGGAGATCTTCTCTTTTCTTCTCGCCATTGGCAGCTGAGCAACTGAGCCTCAGAGACCACTGAGAGGATTAGGGGAAGAGCTGGGAGGATGTCTCTTTGGGGGCTTCTTAGGCCAGGTATCTTCTCCATACAGAGCTGGTCTAAGTTCCCTCCCTACAGAAAAGTCACAACTACACACAGCATGGAGCTGGGGAGTGAGTGGTGATGGGCACGTTGAGGAATGACACCTCAGGGAAGACAGTCTTGCCTTGGGGGCTTATGGATGGATGGGTTTTTCTTTTTGAGGATGCAAAGTGGAGTCCATCTACCTGAATGTGGAGGCGGTAAACACACACCGAGAGAAGCCTGAGGTACGCGGGCACATGGTGAAAGCACCCTCCCCACCCAAAGGGCCACCCCAGTGCCACAGACCTTGGGTGTTTTGTGCCATCAGTTAGAATAACCAGCACCTAGAAATGCTGGATCCTCTGCCCAGATGGGAGGCACCATGGCGATGCAGGGCTAGAGCAACCCCTGCCAGAAAGACCTCAGATCAGACTCCTCCAGGCTCAACTGAGAAAAGGGTCAGGATGCAGGCCTGGCTGAGGGAGGGGAGCCTGGTAGTAAGGACAGCCCACGGGGATGGGCTGGGGCTCCTCACTGCTGTCTCCTTCCTGTTAATCCTGGGCTTTCTTCTCTCAGAATGTGGACATCACCCGAGATCCTGAGGAAGCCTTGGATACCATAGCTGCCCACTACTGAATCCTTTCCAGGCTAAATTGCCTTTGTTCTTGCTTTTTTCTAGCCAAGGAACTCCTGCTTCTGCCTTTGCCCATATGCTTAGGTATCACCAAGCCTCTCAGGAAGTTATGATCTAGGCTCAACTTCATCCTCAGACAGCTCTGCTTTTAGCAGACCTCATCGACTCAAATCATGTCCTTGTTATAGTCACAGTCAAAAAGCTATACAGCTTTGCATGGAGCTTTGTCTTACTTGTTCAATTCTTGTTCTCTAACCAACAAGGTTCCATTCTCCCCGCAGAGGGGGAGAAGAGGCCATTGTGAGACCTCCACAGTCCATTTGACCTTGTCTCTGAAATGCAATCCTGGTCCTGTGGGAAAGAGGCTTGTAAGACCTTTATAGAGCAGGCTCCTATGTAGCATTTCCAGAGGCAAGGAGAGAGGCCTATGGGCCCATCCCTTTGTAGGCATGTGTCTAGGGGTATAAGATCTTCCTTCTCACACAAGAGATTTTGGTACTTCGTTCAGTATTCTCTGCTTCTACTCCTGCCCCCTTCCTAAAGTTATTTCATTTCCCACATGGATAACGCAACCAACACCATGGAGTCCCAGGAACATCATCCCTGAAAATAGTTATCTTCTCTCCTTTTCAACCACCCACTCTCTGCACCTTGTCATTACCTGGAATCTTACCTCCTATATCAAATGTAACTGTCTGACCATCCACACCCTTTCTCCATTATGTCATCTCTCATAATGTCACTCAGGGATACGGAGCAGCATATCTTTCACATATGAATCACTAAAGAGACATTTATTAAATAAACCATACCAGTTTTTTGGACCTCATTAACACTCAACTCCATCAATCCCTTCTTTGTTTCCCAATCCATTAGCCAATGTATCCACATTCTAACCTCTTAAAAGCTAATATGCCCTTGAGGCTAGAAGTGAGGCCCTGTCTTTCCCATATAAACATGTTGTCTCTCCTTAAACATAGGGGGGGGAAAAAGGAAGCACATCTAATTCACTTTGCAGTTTCAATCTTTATTTCTGATACAAAAACTTGAAAGCACACAAGGTGGGGAGAGCAATAGAAAAGGAACAGCAAATAAATGTATCTTGCATGCCACTTTCAGTCAACAGGATGTGGCTCTCTAGACAGCTGTATTCAAAAGGAATGTGAGGCTTCAGCCTCATTCAGGGGGAAGACTATTGTAACCAATCAGCAATACCTGTGAACATAAAAAAGAAAAAAAATTAACATCTGTATATATATATATATATATATATATATATATATATATATGAATATAAATACCAAACAGTGCTTCCCCATACATCTCTCATCTCCCCACCATGGGTTTACTATGGCTCCCAGCTTTTGCACATAAATACATTCTCATGAACCCTACATCTCCCAATGACCATAGCTGCCCAATTCAAAGTGAAGTACCTACCCAACATCTCACTCAACCCAGAAGAAACCAATGGCACCAAAGTTGGCAGCAAAGTTGGCACTGGCTGTAGCACCAGGGCCAGCAATTGGGCCAGTGAAGGTCTGAGGAAATCTGGAACGGGAATTCTGGTGGTATCTGGCCCAGAAGGTAAATGGGATTCTGGACCAAGGATCTCCAAAATCTCCTTCCTCATCCCAGGTCAGCAGCTCAAACTCAATGTCATCCCAGCTCCAGGGGCCAGAAACAGCCTCATCTCCGATCCCCATGCGGGTTCTCGCCTCAGCCCGGGCTTCGGCCTCAGCTGCAGCAGCATCCAGAGCATCCAAGGCCTCATCTGCAGCTTCCATAAACTGTGCAGTCCAGTCGCGAGGGTCTCTCTTTTGAACCTGAGGTGAGAAATAGAAAATCAAACAAAACACATATTATTAGTTAATATTTATGAAGCAATTACTATATATTTAGTGCCCTGGTTTGTGCTACTGTTTGCTTAATAACAACAAATGCCACCAGCATTCACCCATCATGTTCAATACTTAAGATCTCATTCCTGATCTGGACCATTTACTCCTAGCCAGTCACATCTCACCCCATGACCTATCAAGTTTAGAGCAGTTCCTCTATTACCTCTGCAATGAATCTCAGCACTTTCATTTTGCTAGTCTCATGGTAGGAACGGAGGCCCCAGAGGAACTCATACTCAGGAGGGTTGCTGTTGGGCACTCGTCTATAGTCCAGGTACCTTAGAAAGAGTAAAAGGTCTTTGTTTGTATCAAGGCAGAATGGTAACCCATTAATGCATATTAAGCCTAGATTTTGAAACCCCATATTTCAGGTACCAACTCCTCCAAGATCCATTCTTAATAACAAAGTGTTTACCCTCTACCACTCAGGTCTTCAAATTCCTGTGTCAGTGCTTCTACACTGAATAGTCACCTAGAGCTGCAGGGAAGACTTCTGTAGGGTCATAGAAAGGACAACACTTAATCTCACACTCTCTGTCACAGCTCTAGCACCAGATTCTTGTAATATTGTCAATGAGCTACAGACAGGATCATTGTAATGATTACACTGCAATGCAAAAGCCACCACCAGGCCCAGCCTTGGAGACTTCTACTGTGGGGACATCACTTACAAAATGATTATAGAAAAATTCATCCACAAAGAGTGTATTCAATAAATACTGAGTGCATGTGTTTTTGTACACATCTGTACACACACAAAACACACACACACACATATATATGTATGAATAATGTAAGAAATGATCATGGGAAGAACTTTCTGAAGCTGACCAGCACACGGAACTCATGAGGACCAGACAAAGCCCCTTTGGCACGACTTACTTTTGCTTTACAAACTCATAAGTAAGAAGTTTCCTCAGATCTCCAAGGAGAGGATGTCTCATCCTGATAGTTAAAAAAAGGAACCCATAATCAGAGACTATGACATTGCATCCAAAAAATGAAAGGACTTTCCAGCACAGAGGTCAGAGATAAAAATCAGCAGAGAGTTCAGGACTAGTTCCTCATCCACCCAAGTCACATTCTTGGACTGTGTACCTCCCCAACCCCCCCTAGAACATCAGTGGCTGATGCAATCCCTGGGACCATCCTCTGTTGTCAAAGGATGGTATAAGCAGGCAAGAGATGAGACCCCAGTCATACCCAGGACGCAGTCCCATCTTGCGTAGTGCCTCCCAGAGGATAGCTGCAATGGGGGGCAAGGGGAGACAATGGATGGAAAATGAGCATGGAAGTGAGGCTGTAACCAACCCCCAGCTGCAGGTCCAGCCACTCACCTTCACTGGCACGGTTGCCATTCATGAAGATAACACCCAAAATCACTAAGAGGAGACCCAGCTTGGGTGTGTCTTTGGTCCTGAAAAGAGTACAAAAAGATGATGCTTTCAGCAGCCATGTGTACAAGGCATTCCAGGCAGCATCTAGCTTCTCCAATATCCCTCAGCTAGGGGATAATTATACTCCATCTCTGTCCCTGACCTGCTATGTGAGCCTGAATCAGAGACTGTGGCCTAGTCCCAGAGAAAAAAAGCACCACCGAAAGGCAATGTTTCACTTCCCTTCCCATCTTACGTTCCCAGTATGCCAGCCAGGGACTCGGGTGTACTGATGAGAATATACAGGTGTTCTTCCTTGTCAATTTCCTTCAGTTGAATCCCAAATTTCTATAGGGAAAGGAAAACAGACTATGAAATTACAAAATCTAGCATATGCTACCCATCTCAGTTGCTCACTTTCCTGGGAGACTTGGCCTACACTCCCAGTAGGAATTCCATGAATCTTTGAAACCAAGACTTTCCCCATCATTCCTGTCCCTTAGAAACTGCCTTCTCACCTTCTCCAGGACAAAGCATGCACGCTCAATGATTTCTGGATAAACATCAGTGTATTCACGGATGATATCCCTCAGCATTTCTGTAGGAGAAAGGAGGGAGCACCTGGGCTGAGTAGGGGCCACAAAGCTGCAGCCCCCTTTGCTAGCTTTGCTGAAAACACAAGGTCCTCAAGGGTCAAAAAGGAAGCATTAGCCATGGAAGGAGAGGACTGAAGGAGAGGGGGCTTATATATGAACAGAGGGATGTCCACAGAGCATGAGGTGAGGGGAAGGGCAGAGCCCTGGGAGAGGGCACTGAATGCCTACCTGAGCGCTTGATGGGCACCTTTGTGTAATCTTTAAGCATCAAGTACTTGACCAACTTATTCGCCTGGGAGGAGAAAAGGAAAATTTTTTGTTATAGTTACAGAAAACCTGGTTGAATTATAGGTGGAAGGATGACAAAGAAAAGAGAAGGTGAGAGAGGTAACTGAGGAGTTATAGTGCTTACCCTTTCCTGAAGAAGGGCCACATCTCGGGGCTGTGGAGCACCCATGTTCTGTGGAGCACCCATGTTCTGTGGGGCACGTGGGTTGGGAGGGGGACGCACGTTTGATGAGGGTCGTAGGTTCTGCCAGTCAGGTGGAACTGGCCTATTATCGGTGGGGATCCAGTCATGTGGGAGCTGCCAGTCTGTCGGAAGTGGCCAGTTGTGTGGTAGCTGCCAGTCAGGAGGGCTTTGCCAATCTGGAGGACCCTGCCATCCAGGTGGACCCTGCCATCCAGGTGGGGCCTGCCATCCAGGTGGATTCTGCCAGACCAATGGGTTTGGCCAGACAACTGGACCAGGCCAGACAACTGGACCAGGCCAGATCACTGGACTCTGCCAGATCACTGGGCTCTGCCAGATCACTGGATTCTGCCAAGCAACTGGGCTTTGCCAGGCTGGTGGGGTCTGCCTGGCTGGGGGGTTCTGACGTGCTGCTGGGATGTGCCTGACTGGCGGGTTTTGCCAGCCTGATGGGTTCTGCCATGCCAATGGGGTCTGCCAGAGCACATTCGGGGGTGCGTAGGGTGGGTTCTGAGTGGTAACTGGAATCGGTGCAGACCTCCAGGTCCCTGCAGGCAGTGGGGCCCGCCTTTGATTCCCATTGCGGTTCTCTTCCACATTCAAGTTATTAATCTGCATCATCAGAGAGAATGAAGGTCTAGGGTCACCAGTTGTTTCTGTGTCCTCACCCTATCTATTCCAGGAAGATCCCCTAAAACCCTCACCTGTAGTGAAAACCTGACCCACTAGCCAATGGCCACCCTGAGTCCTGGACTTGTTTTTCACTGTCTTCCAGGAAGAAGTTTCATCTCTGAGTCAGACCTGGATCAACCCGGGGGTATGGCCTGAAGCTGCTCCTCTTCCTGTGTCCACCACTGGCTCTGCTTGTACCACCCTGGCCAAATCACTCAAGTCACGTCAGCTCTGTGGAACTTAGTTTCCTTCTCTGTAAAACTGAGACTATGACCCCTCACTGGTATGAAGTACCTTGAAGATTTAATGAATGAGCTAACCTGTGTGAATATGCCTAGCTCAAGGCCTAACTTATGGTGGCTACTATCAAAATGTAAATGGAATTACATATAGGAGATATATACAGATATAGATATAGATGATATAGATATCACGTCTCATCTCCCCATCAGTCTGTGGACACTCGGAGGACAGGAATGACCATATTCACCTCATCATCCCCTATAATATAGCTGAATACAGACAGACATAAATATAGATACAGGATTGTCTATATCTACCGGTATATATTTATTCCTGTTCTAGAACAAATAACCACCTCAGAGAAGAAAGGAGAGAACTCAAAGCAAAGCGGAGCTAGCAGGGGTCTCACCTTTCTGGTCCTCTTGCCCCGGATTATAGTCCTGGACTCCAGATTCTGAGCCTGGGAACCATCTGCTGATGTCTGTGCAGCTGCACCATCAGATACAGAGTTAACTGGGTTGGCCCCTATGCCAGCCTTAGAAGTAGCCACTTTGGTTTGCTTAACATTCTGAGTCTGGGTATTAGCTGTTTGGGCCTTAGTATTATCATTCCAAGCCTTGAAGGCTGTCTTAGGCTGAGTGTTTGACTTTTCACTGGCATTGAGAGACTGAGAGAAATTGTAAGTGGCATTTGGGCCCACCTTAGTAGTGGCATTTGGGGCCTTAAAGGCGACCTCAGATTTGTTGGCAGTTAACTCTTTGGCTGCTACTTGGGAAAAATCATAGGCCGCATTTGGGCTCTTTCGGGTGGCATTCCGGGTCACAAAGGCAGCCTTAGGTGATGGCTCTTTGGCACTAAGGGCCTTAGAGAAATCACAGGCAGCTCTGGGGCCTTTTGTGGTAGCATTCTTGGCCTTAAAGGCTGCTTTAGGCCGAGCTGCAGCTGCTGAAACCTGATAATCAGCCGTTGTTGGGGGCTGTGAACTGTGGGGACAAGAATTCTGCCCGAAGGCAGCTGCAGGAGCCTGGTTGGTAGGTGGAGCCTCTGAGATCTGGATGGCCTCCATCAGGGTCTGCATAAGCAAGGTGCTGTCTTCTATAGAGGCCTCAGCCTGAAAATACAGGAGTGGGGGTTAAAATCTCTGGGCCTCCAAAGCTAGGGGAAGGTTAGAGGTTAGCAGTGCAGGGGGCGTGCTGGAAGGTGGCTGGTGCAAAAAGAGGAGGGTTGAGTTAGTCCTAGACTGCTGGGGAGAAAGGCACAGTGTTAACAAAGTCAGGTAAGCGGGGTAGGGGCTCAAGGGGGGGGGTAGGAAGAGGAGAGGGGTGGAGTTAGAACTGAGGGCTTATCAATCAGTGAGATTAGAGCAGAGCAGTGTGGCATGCCTTAAGAACTCTGGACGGGGGTTATGGTGCCCTTAAGAGGAGTTTAGGAGAGTAAGTGGGGGGAGGGGTCCACAGGGAGTGGGGAATGCAGAAGGGAACGTGGAGGTGGATGGTTGGGGGAGGGAGCAGCAGAATGCTCTACAAACGTCAGGACTAGCGGGGTGGGGGTGGGGGGAGAGAAAAGCTCCTCATCCAACCCGCATTCTCTGGGCACATTGCCCTGACTACTAACAGGGTCTCCCCTTTCTCTGGGCAGGGACTGATGGCTGAAAAGGGACGCCCCTCCCCCTCCTCCCCCCCCCCCCCTTCGATAAACCCTGAGAATTTTTAAAAGACAAGGGAGTCTAGACACCTAGAAGGCAAATCGGATCCAGGAGTTTGGGTGTTCAAAGCGGCCCAGGGGTAACTGCTGGGGAAATGGGGAGGGGTAGGAGTTAGAGATCTCACCTGGAAGCTGAGGAGGCCCGCACCACAGTCCATTTTCTGAGCCATGGCTCTATCCCTCTGGCAAGAGCCGAGCCTGAGGAGTGTTGGGGAGGAGCCGGACGTTATACTATGGAGGGCAAATAAGAGAAACCAAATTTGGGGGTGGGGTGTTTGGGATTTGATTGTGGGGACGGATGAGTTGCTGAAAGTTAGGGGAACGGGCCGAAACAAAGTGAGAAAAGTAAAGTGTCCAGAAGGAAGTTTTGAATCCCCAGAAGCTAGTGAAGGGGCGAAACTTCACATTGGGATTCGGAAAGCAGATACGAAGTTTGAATCTACAGGGAGCCGCGTTTGGGAAACTGAACGTAGGTTTCCAACGAGAAGAATCGTGTTAACAGTAGAGATTGAGGACCAGAAATCTGCAGAGATTTTGAACGTTGAGAAGGATTCAGAGAGAGAACAGGGATTCTGAGTACGGATCAGGCGAGGGGTGTGAATCAGGGTTTGGGGAGTAGAATAGGGATCAGAATCCAGGGTAAAGGGAGCGGGATGAAAAAGGGGGGCCCGCACCAGGGGGCAAATGCCCTGTCTGGGGGCTAATTCTCACCTTGCCTCTGGCCCCAACCCTAACCCCCTCGTGGCCTCACTTCTTCACGACTCAGACAATCGGAATTGCAGTGCTCGGTTCTCTGCAACCGCACCCTCTCCTTGTCCAGGAGAAAATGCCAGCGCGGCAGATGGGACGACCCCGCCTCTTTTCCTAATATACCACCCACCGCCTCACAAGGTTCAGCGCATGCGCAAGAGCTAACAGACCAAATAAGAGTCCCGCCCGCTTTCCCAACAAAAGCCTCGCTCTGAACACCACGATGCGCATGTGCAGCAGGAGACAGTCCCGCCCCTTTGCCAACACACCAAGCCACCACCAACCAGTCTACAGTATATGGTGGTCCCGCCCCTTATCCCCTCCCCAAAATAGATACTCTGTGCCTCTAAGTCCCACCCCTGGCCCTACACACTGGGCCCCTATCCTTTCCGCAATGCGTCTGGCTTCTATCCCCTCCCCTCTTTTGGCTCCTCCTGTCTGGTCGCATGCATCTCCACCCCCTTGCCTAGCAACAAGAAAAAGTTACTGTTAAGGAGGTCTCCGGATGGGTGGGATCTCTAATTGCAACAAGTGCTAGGATTCGTGGCACAGGAAAAGAAACGTCCAGAGAGGATACGCCATTGGAAGGAGAAAAAGGTCTATGGTCTTCACGTGACTCTATATGACCTCCCCTTTAACTGCTCCCAGACTTGTGATATCATCAGCTTCTTTCCTGCCTTTTGTGCAGCCCCAGGCATGGACTTAGCATGTGTGTGAAGGTCACAGCGTCTACCTCACAGGATGATCTGTACCGAGACTTGTTTTCCTCTCACAGCAGCCCTGGGAAGTGAAGTCCCATTTTACAGATCCAGACGCGCAGACAGGTTGCGTGCATGAACTAGTAAACAGAAAATGCAAACTGTGGGCCTGGGTCTTCCTGACTCCAAAACCCAGGTTCCACTAGTGCTGGCCTAAAAACGGGGGCACCCTGCTCCCCTCTTCATTTTCAGCAGCAGCTTCACGCCCACCTCCCCTGCCTGCCAATATATGCCCCAAACAAGCGAGGTTTGTATTTCCTGAAACCTAAGGTCATACTCGGCACACAAAAGGACACCTCCAATAGTGTTTTCTCTGGCCATCCCTTTTCCTGGGCCCTGATGTACTAGATGAGTTCACAGGCGCATAGCGTTTGTTGCAATTATAGATGCACCTCCCCATTTCTACAGCAGTTACCCCGGGCCACTGTGAACACCCAAACTCCTGGATCCGATATTTTCCCCCATGTGCCAATGCATGCAACCCCAATAGCGTGGAAGGGATAGAGGTGACATTGTGGAGAAGATAGTGAGCCGGTGTGGGGGGTAAGGGATGATACTATTGTTGCTCTTTAGGGTCTACTCCCACTGTCAGGCCTTTTCCTGAGTGGCACAGACACGCCGCCCCCAAGGCCTTCCTGGTGCCCACTGGAGCGGCAGGACAATCAGGGACTGTGTGTGGGAGCCATGGCAAGCCCCGGTTCAGAGTAAATGTTTGTCCTGCTTCTTTGCAGGGCTGAGCCTCCATTCCTGGGATAAAGTGCCGGCCAGCCTGTCACTAGCAGTGTGAGCCCACTAGGGTCACTCCACTTGTCTGAATCTGGCGTCCCCATAGGCAAAATGGGCGGTGCAAGGAACACTCTGCTGGGTCCTCACCACGGACCAGGACACAGGCTGCTGTCCTTCCAGAATGACTGGAGAGACTAGCAAAGGCAGACAATGCTACAGACATGTGGACGGCCAAATGGAACTGATGCTTTCTGAAATCCACGGCAGATCTCTGTCCGTTTTCCATTTGTCCGGCATCAGCTCCTTCCAGGAGTCTGCATATGAAAGGAAGCGAATGCCAGGAAGGACCCCGGCATTGGGTCTCCAAGGGCCAGCCAGCATCAGTTCTGCCTGGCTGCATGACTTCCCTCATCTGTTGCATAGCAACGTCCCCTGTCAGCTGCCTGTTTTTTCCTCAGCACTTCCTCTGTAAAGTGTCTGCAGTGGGACGTGATCAGACTCAGGAAAGGGGGTTAGAAACACCATTTTATGTGCTACCTGCTTCCATATCTGTGTCTTGAGTCTGGGACTTGGACTATGAATTCTAGATCCATAATCCAACAGCCAGCCTCACTTCTCTGATGAATATGTCTTTGTATATTATTTTAAAAATAAATCTATTGGGGTAACATTGGTAACTAACATTAGATAAATTTCAGGTAGGTAGTATTTTCAAAATTAACAGGTTACAGCCAAAACCGGTTTGTCTCAGAGGATAGAGCGTCGGCCTGCGGACTGAAAGGTCTCAGGTTCGATTCCGGTCAAGGGCATGTACCTTGGTTGCAGGCACATCCCCAGTAGGAGGTGTGCAGGAGGCAACTGATCGATGATTCTCTCTCATCAATGTTTCTAACTATCTATCCCTCTCTCTCCCTTCCTCTCTGTAAAAAATCAATAAAATATATTTTTAAAAAATTAACAGGCTACAAACTAATTCCTTTGTATATATCCTCCTTTACACCAACATTGTGCACTCTCCTTTAGTCATATCTTCCTATCCCTTATAGAATAAAAACTTTTAGGAAGATAAATTTTTGTTTGTTTTATTCTTTGTTGTATCCTCAGGACCTTGTAGAATGACATGTGGCATATTTTATATGCTCAAAAAGTATTTGTTTAATCAATGAATGAACCCCACCATTCACTCTCAAACAAAAAACCTGAGAGGCAGATTTTTTCGCCCCTGTGAATTCACTTATTTTTTCTCATTTACATATAATTCATATTAATCATTAAAAATCAAGTAATATCTACATATTTTAGAAATTAAGTGAACCTTATTCTCACCACCTTGAGATAACTGCTATTAAGATTTTTATGCTTCTTATAAGGGAATTCCTTGTATCACATGATCTAACGCATCTAGGGGAAATAATGAACAACATAAATTGATGAACAGAAACAGACCAGGAGACAGAGAAGCAGCGATCAGACTGTCGAATCTCAGAGGGAAGGCAGGGGAGGGTGGGGGCAAAGGGGAGAGATCAACCAAATGACTTGTGTGCATGCATATGAGCCTAACCAGTGGTCCTGGACAATAGGGGGGTGGGCATATGTGGGGAGGGGTTTGGGATGAGAAAGGGGGGATGAGGACAACTATGTGATGCCATAATCAATAAAGAAATTTTTTTAAAAAGGAAAAAAATATTTTAATGCTATTATTTAAAATAATGCTTCATGCATACAAAGTAGGTTTACAGTTATTTGTATGGAAAAATAATACAAGAGTCAACAAATAATAAAAAATAAGCCATTTTGTGTACTCACAACTGTAAACCTTCCTATGCCCCTTCCTGTATACAGTGTATTCTTATATGCATGTGATTGTATTATATATGCCATAAACTTGTTAATAGCACTTTTGCTTATTATCTCCTACTCCTTTCTTTCATCTCTACTCTCATCTGTCAGATGTGCATTTTTAACAACCATTTTTATATCCTCCCATATTCAAAAAGTCATGTTTTTTGAAAATCAAGATTATATGCACTTTCAGAGGGGAAGGGGGTTGAAGGACTGGGTGAAAAAGGTGAAAGGATGAGAAAAAAGATTATATGCACTTTAATACACCTGATTTATCTTAGTTAATGCTAGCCTACCTGTGATTTGTTCTTTTACATTGCTGCATAATATTCCGTGATAGGGATGTACTACATTGTATTCAACCATTTCCCCACTGATGGTCATTCATTTTATTTTCAGGCACATACAAACAACATTGCGATAAAATCTTTGTATATATATCCTTACATTTTTTATGAGTGTAGTGAATGTGCGAATTCTTTTTTTTTCCTTTCATTAAGGTATTATATGTGTACATATCTTACCATTGGCCCCCCCCACCCCACTCCTATACATGCCCTCACCCCCCCCCCAGAGTTTGCATCCATTGGTTATGCATATATGCATGCATACAAGTCCTTCTGTTGATCTCTTATCTCGCCCACCTCTCCCTAACCTTCCCCCTGTAATTTGACAGCCTGTTTGATGTTTTACTGCCTCTGTATCTATCTTTTTGTTCAGATTATAATGTTCTTTATCATCCACAAATGAGTGATATCATGTGATATTTTTCTTTCGTTGACTGGCTTATTTCACTTAGCATAATGTTGATGGAGTTGGAGAACATTATATCCTCATATTTTGATGCTTAATGTTTTTTATTCCCATGACACCAAATGTCTGGGAATAAGATTGACATACTCCACAGCACTTGGTATTATAATCTTTCTAAGTTCTTTGCCAATCTGATGTGGTTTTACTGGTATCTCCTTGAGGTTTTAACATATTTCTGATAAGTAACTAGTGGAACACATATTCCTATATTAATGGACCTATTAAATTTATTTTGTAAAGTACCTGTGTAAATCTTTTACCTATTTTCTTGTGTCTTTATT